CATTCCCAGCTTAAACAAAAACAAAGGAAACAGAAAGAAAAAATCACGAGCCACAGTTCAAATTGCCATCTCAAACTGAGCAATAAAATGGAGCAAAACACAATAAAGTTACAAATTTTGCTCAACCTGATGCCTAATCTCCATTTTGCTCAACTATAATGCACGGGAGATAAAGTAAAAATCTGATCTATAACTGAATACCAAAAATGATCTGAATTGAACCGAATTTAACATTTCCATACCCGACTTATATCTTAAACTAATTAGATCTAAAGCGATTAAACCTGAAACTGATTATAACCGAAATCGATTATGCCTGAAACTGATTGTACCAAAAGAGCCGGAACCGATTATGCCTTTTCAATAAACATGTAATAAAAATTAGAGTAAATTTCATAAATGGTCCCTAATTACAGGTGATTTTCCATATTTATTCCGCAATTCTAAGATCTTACATAAATGGTCCTCAATTTTTAAAAATTGTTCCATAAATAGTCTCTTAGGCCAAATATGACAAAATGCTTTTTCACATACAGTCCGTGAAGGACCGATTATGGAAATTTTTTTAAAAATTGAAGACCATTTATGTAACATCATAAATTTGGGGACTAAATATGAAAAATCACCTTAATTAGGGACCATTTATGGAATTTACTCTAAAAATTATGTGCATAAGTGCGCAAATACATTCATGTAATTTCGATTTCTTTTTGTTTTATTTTACCATTTGAGTTATGTCTTTAGACACCCCCTCCGTTTTTTGCAATTGAAACTTTTTAATCAAACTGCTACACATTTTGACTTTCAATGTGGGAGATGAGCCAAAGATGATTGAGATTGAGCGGGATAGAAAACTCTAGACAAAAGAGAAGAGAAAGTAAGCATGAGCATATGGGCCGAAAGTCAATTGCCCAAATAGGGAAAGGAAATACAAAGTAAAAAGTTTAAAGCTTAAAATATAGAGCGATAAAAATTGAAAAGTCGTGAAAAAAAATAGAAAATATCAACAAAGATAGTGAGGAAAAGGTAAAATAATGTGAGATGATGAACTGATAAATATAATGTGACAAAAAAGGAAACATTGAATTTAAAGTTTTAATATAAAAATAATATATATTTGAAATAAATCGCAACCAAAATATACCCAACCGGAAACGTATTCAAAACCAAGTTATATCCGAACTGAAATATATCAAAAACCAAAATATATGTGTACCATACATAAAACCAAACAGAAACCAAACCAAAACCACAAATTGCATGTAACCGAATTAAATCCAAATTGAAATTAAACCGAACCGATTATAACAAATATGTGAAAGATATCCGAACTGAACAAACCCAAACAGGATCCAAACCGATTGATTTGATTGCCATGTCTAAATGTATCAAATGATGAAGCATATTGTATTGGGGAGGGTCTAGTACGTTAAGCCAAACTCATGATGTTCGTAATTCCCAATCATGAACAGATTTAGGGATATTTTGGATTTCATGTGAAGGAATTAACGTTGAAGTAAAAACAAAGCATTAGATGAACAAAAATACATACTCTCTCCGTCCCACAAAACATTTCAACTTTCTCATCTTACGCGTCCCATAAAACATTTCAATTTCTCTAAAATGGACTAAAATACCCCTCTTTAACCCTACTTTCCCACATCACATATGTCACATCTCATCTTACTTTTTGTTTTTTAATTACTCCTTCCCATTATTCTTAACTATTCATTGATTTGAAACATCACTTTTGAAAAGAAAGCCTAAGGCCCCGTTTGGTACATGGAATTCAAACCATGGAATTGGAATTGAAGACTTCAATTCCAATTCTGGTGTTTGGTAGCACAAAAATTATGTGGATTTTGAATTGATAGTGCAAAAAATGAATTGGAATTGGCAGAATTCAATTCTATGGAATTGAATCCCATGGAATTTCAATTCCAATTCAATTCCAATTCCGTCAATTCCGTATACCAAACGAACCCTAAGGGCATTTGTGGAAGGTCAAACACCAAAATACACTCTCTTAAATCACCCAAAAGTCAAAAACGGAAAATTTTTACGGAACGGGGGGAGTATTTGTGTTGAGGACAAAAATATACCGAGCCGTAAGCAATATGCATGTGGTATCTTAGGATCTATTCATTTGGGTTCTAACTCTTAACTTCTAATATTTTTCAACTCTTTCTAATTTTTTCCATCTTACAAATTTTTCCAAGTCTTAGTTTATTCTAATTACTTCATGTTTCTTCCAACTCCTACTAGTTTTTTCCAACTTCTAATTTCTTCTAACTTCGTCCAATTCCTTCTAAAAATGACTTAAAATCATATTATTATTATTATTAAAATAAATGTATGAAATGAGCAACCATGTAACTCGTAGATGTATATGACAAATATTAATAAAATGTTACATCCAATTATATACTCCCTCTGTCCCAATGTTTTTGTCCACTTTTCCTTTTTGAGCTATCTTATTGTTTTTTGTCCAGTTTCCTTTTATAGTAAGTATAAAAAGGTTTAATTGTGTGTTTTGCCCTTTTTCTTTTCTTTAATTTTCTGGTTTTCCGTATTCACTCTTTCATCCACCCATTCTTTTGCATCAACAACCTTTATCTCCTCATTGTCCCTGAACAAAGGAGAGCTGAAGGTCTTGATTGAGCTTCCAATAAGGGTCACCAAATTTCCAAGATCATCAGACTGGAGATGAAGGTTTTATCTCCATCGTCTCATCCCTCTCAACACGAGAGTTAGGACATTAGTTCTATTCGTCCCCTCTTTGGCCCGAAAAAACCATTTAAAGCATTGCTCATTGGACGGACATCAATGTCAATTAACAACAGGATTCAAGCAGGTTGGTCAAAATGCGAAGTGCTTCGGGCTCAAATGGATAAAAATAGTACCTATAAAACTAAAGAGAAATTTTACTCTAGTACGATTAGACGAGCTATGTTGTATGAAACAGAGTGTTGGGGAGCTAAGGGTGAACATGATCGCAAGGACAGTGTGGCCAAAATGAAGATACTTCAATGCATGGGCAGTCATACGCGTATGGATAAAATAAGGAATGAAGATATGAGAGCTAAAGTTAGAGTGGCACCTATATATGAAAAGATTTTGGAAGTCTGTCTTAGGTGGTTTGGACATGTGAAGAGAAGCAATAGAGCATGCAGTGAGAAGCGTGGATCAAATGGAAGGATAGGTAGACCTAAGCAGGCTTGGCATGAAGTGGTCAAGAGTGACATACACGTAATCAAATGGAAGGATAAGTAGAGACTTAAAAAGACTTGGCACAAAGTGATCAAGAGTGACATACACGTAAATGATCTCTTTGCAAATATACTTGATATGGCACAACGACGTCGCTTGATCCATGTAACTAGGGGTGTATACAAATCAAATAAAATGTATTCGATTCGTGATTTGTATTCGAAAAATATGATTCGTATTCGCTATATTCGAATTCGAATCCGGCTACAAATCATATTTTAGATTTGAATTATTTTCGAATTCAAATACAAATATTAATAGATTCGATTCGTTTATCATTCAAATTATTCGAATATTATAATTTATAAATAAATTTATATATATTCTAATATATTAAATATTTGTGTACATATAAATTTATATATATTCAAATATTATAATTTATAAATAAATTTATATATATTCTAATAAATTTTTACTACATTTTTATTTTTACTATATTTTACATTATTATAAAATAATAATTTAATGTCTTTAAGAAATTTGTTTTAAGAAAAAAATTACTAATATTTTCGAATTTAAATATTCGAATACGAATTCAAATATGTCAAATATCTATCGAATCAAATACGAATGTTTTTTAAAATTCGAATTATATACGAATCCGAATTCGAATACATATTACTTTAATCGAATACGAATCACATAGTGATATATTTGCTTCGATTCGATTCGTATACACCTCTACATGTAACTGACCCCACCTAGTGGGATGAGGCTTGGTTGTTGTTGATCAAATGCTAGATTATTCATGTCAATTTTTTTGTTTTAATGAACATTAATAAAATATATTGCTCTAGTTGTCCCACTATTTGGGGCATGTGGTAGTGACATACAAATTAAGAAACAAAAAATTGTATAACTGATATAGTTATTAAAAAGAAAACGTAAGAATGAGTGTGAGTCACATAAATATAATTACTAAATATGATTTGATGCAAAACTGGTGGGACATACAAAAAATAAAAAAGACAAGAAATAGAGTACAGCTTAATTTTAAAAAATATGAAATTTAAAAAATATAATATTTATTTCAACTCATTTTAATTTTTCCAACTCGTTTATTTCAACTTCTTCCACTTTATTCTAACTCCTTCCAATTTGTTCCAACTCCTTCCAACATATTCCAACTCCTAGTCTTTTCTAACTCTTTCTAGTGTTTCCCAACTCCTTGCAGCTTCTGCTAATATCTTGTAGTTTTTTCCACTTCTCAAATTTTCCAACTTGTTCCAATTTCTTCTAACATCCAACTCTATTTTTCAACCCAAAAGAACAAAGTCTTAATCATCATGTCCTGGATGTACGCAAGTCGTAACCAGACTAGCATGAAGGACTAATCACACTCTCATTTTCTTAATCAAAACAAATATTAAATAGCTATATTATTATTCTCATATTAGTAGCTAAGAAGTAATTAGATTAAATTAATGTCCCTCATCTTGCACCATTCTCACCTCTAACGTGCATTGCAATTGATTTAAGTCATTTTCTTTCATTCCCACTTCTGTTAGTTTCGAAATTGTTTTCATCTTCATCCTTGCATTTCCTTTCGCGCACTTGAGTGTTTGAGTCAAATTAAACTCATTCCACTAAGGTTACAACCACCATCCTCCAAGAATCCAGCAACCTTCACTTACGGTTATGATCATTTCTCATCCCTGCACCAGCACCCATTCTTATTTTATTTTCATCCCCTTTTGTTTGATATGTGGCATTCGTGTCTGGATAACCTGTGAAAAGCCTGTTGGGTTATTCGGTGAAGGCTTTAGAGCTTTGGGCTTTAAAAGCCCGGTCGGTTAAAGAGAAGAAATATGGGGGGCCGGTTTTAGTTATTAATTAAAGGGCCCATTAGTTGTTTCTTGTTTAGCAAGTTGTTAACCCTAATTTATATCTTATAAATACCCAATCATGTAACTATAATCTGTGAGCACCTAATAAAAGATAAACCCTAGTTGCAACCCGTGGAGTAGGTTACTGACCGAACCACGTTAAATCTCGTGTTCTTATTTTCTGCTATTTGTGTGTGTGTGTNATGGGGGGCCGGTTTTAGTTATTAATTAAAGGGCCCATTAGTTGTTTCTTGTTTAGCAAGTTGTTAACCCTAATTTATATCTTATAAATACCCAATCATGTAACTATAATCTGTGAGCACCTAATAAAAGATAAACCCTAGTTGCAACCCGTGGAGTAGGTTACTGACCGAACCACGTTAAATCTCGTGTTCTTATTTTCTGCTATTTGTGTGTGTGTGTGTGTTTGTTTGCTTCCGCTTGACCGCCTCTGATCTCTGATTCCTAACAAGTGGTATCAGAGCCTTGGTTCGGTTAAACACACGGTTACACAGGATCAATCGCAGGAAGAAGGCTGTTCAGGATCGTTTTTGCTGCTGTTTTGCTGCCGCGGTTAAGGGGCTGGTTCAGATCTGATCAGGGGCTGGTTCGGATCTGATCAGAGGCTGGTTCGGATCTGGTCAGGGGCTGTTCGGTCGGTTTTAGGTGAACTTGGCGATTAGGGTTTCTGGTTTTGGACCTGGTACCATAGTTGTTACGGCGGCTAGGTGAGGCTGGGCGCTAGAGCACCTTCCAGTCGCCTAGGCGATTAGGCGTCCGCTGGGCTAGTAGGCTATGGCGACCATAATAATTTTATAGGTACTAATATTAAAGCATATAGTATGAAATAATTAATTAAAATGAACACTAATATATATATATATACACACACACACAGTCACAAGCCTGGCATATTTAATTTGGGCCTTATACTCTTGTGTAAAGGTCCAATAGTCTATTAATTAATCTAGCCCAGTTACTTGACTTTTTGACCTAGTCCACTAGTTAAATAATAGAGAGATAGGAAGAGGTAGTAGAGTCGCAGATCTGGAAGCCAAGAGTCGCAGATCTGGAAGCCAAAGCCGCACCACCACGACAGATAATCGGCGAGAGAGATAAGTCTTCTCTCCCTCTCTTATGCCGTCTTCTCTCTATCTCCTCCTCTGTCTTCTCTCCCTCTCCTCCTCCGTTCCATTGCGCTTCTAAAATGAAGACGCGTCTCAAAGATGGACTGTACAACACAGTCGCCCAGGGAAAAAAAGCTAGGCGACCAGTTAGGCGTCCACAAACCCTCGCCCAGACGCCTAAGTGTCGCCTAGGCGACGCCTTGATAACTATGCCTGGTACTCGTTGGTTCGGGTTCTTTGTTTTAGGGTTTGTTTTCTTTTGGAGGTTGCTTGGTTTCAGGCCGTTATTCCTTGATTTTTTCTCTGGTTTTTTTTTCTCTCGTTTTGCAATGGCTAAGGACGGGAGGGTTCGAATCGAGAAGTTCAACGGTACTGATTTTGCATGGTGGAAAATGCAAATAGAGGCGTTGCTTGGTGAGTGCGATTTGGACATGGTACTGGAAGAGAAACCGGATGGAATGGATAAGGCTGCTGAAGCAATTTGGGACTCAAAGGACAAAAAGGCAAGAGGTAAAATTACACTAGCTTTGACGAGGAGTGTGGCGTTTAATATCATGAAGGAAACAACTGCTCGTGGTATGTTAACAGCTCTGTCAAATATGTATGAGAAACCGTCGGCCGGTAATAGAGTGTTCTTGATGAGGGAATTGTTCATGATGAGAATGAACGAGGGCAGCCCAGTTGCTGATCACATTAATGAGGTCAATTCGATCTTGTCGAGGTTGTCATCAGTAGGCATGAAGTTCGATGATGACACTCAGGCTGTGATTCTGTTATCTTCCTTGCCTGATAGTTGGTCGGGATTTGTGACAACGGTTACTGAAACTGCTGGAACAGGAAACTTGAAGTTTGATCGGATACGGGATAGTGTTTTGGGTGAAGACATTCGCCGGAGGAACGCTAGTGGAGGATCTACTTCTGGGTTACTCA